GGGCAAAAAAAATCCTACCCAATGGAGAAATAGTTGGGGAGGTAACAAAACCCTATACTCTTCATTATAAAACCAATAAGCCTGAAAAAGGTGGATTATTTTGTGAAAGAATTTTTGGGCCTATAAAAAGTAGAATTTGTGCTTGTGGAAATTATCGAGTAATCGGAGATAAAAAAGACCAACCAAAATGGAATGAGGATTTAGTTCACCCTACACGTACACGTCATGGATATCCTACTTTTATATGTAATATAGACTTGTATGTAACTATAGAAAGTTACGATGTTATACATAACGTCATTATTCCACCAAAAAGTTTTCTATTAGTTAAAAATGATCAATATGTAAAATCAGAACAAGTGATTGCGGAGATCCTCGTGGGAACATATACTTTTAATTTGAAAGAGAGGGTTCGAAAACATATTTATTCTGACTCAGAAGGGGAAATGCATTGGAGTACCGATGTGTACCATGCATCAGAATTTATGGATAGTAATGTACATATCTTACCAAAAACAAGTCATTTATGGATATTGTTAGGAAAGTCGTGCAGGTCTAATACAATCCATTTTTTACTTCACAAGGATCAAGATCAAAGTACCATGGATTCACTTTCGAATGGAAACAAAATATTTTGAATCTTATAGAAAGGAATAATCAAGTAAAACATAAATTCTTTGGTTTCCATACTTTTGGTACAAAAGAAAGGGGATCAATGATTATTCAATATTTAATCCAATCATATATATGGATCATTCTTATTTAATGTATCCCGCTATTTGTCACGATACTTTTTATTTCTTGGCGAAAAGGCGGAGAAATCGATTTCTTATTCCATTTCCATTCCAATCGATTCAAGAACGAAAGAACGAACTAATGTCCCCTTTCGGTGTCTCCATTGAAATACCTATCAATGATTTTTTTCCTAGATATATTATTTTTGCTTATTTCGATCATCCTCAACCCATTTTTCAAAAAGAAGATTTCATTGAGTATCGAGGAAGAAAAAAATTAAAGCCAAACTATCCAATTCAAGTAGGTCCCTTTTTTTTGATTCCCGAAGAAGTGCATATTTTACCCCAATCTTCTTCCCTAGTGGTACGAAATAATAGTCTTATTGGAAGAGGAACACCAATCACTTTCAATATAAGAAGTCGAGTAGGCAGATTGGTCCGATTAGAAAAGAAAAAAAAATAGAATTAAAAATATTTTCTGGAAATATCCATTTTCCCAGAGAGATTGATAAGATATCAAGACACAGTCCCATCTTTATACCACCCGGAACGGTAAAAAAAATGCAAGGAATAAAAAAAAATAAAGATGGGATCTATGTCCAACGGATCGCAACTACAAAAAAAATGCAAGGAATCAAAAAAAATAAAGATGGGATCTATGTCCAACGGATCGCAACTACAAAAAAAATGCAAGGAATAAAAAAAAATTAAAGATGGGATCTATGTCCAATGGATCGCAACTACCAAATAAAAAGAAAAAAAATTGTTTTGGTTCGACCTGTAATTTTATATGAAATACCGGACACTATCCCTTTTGTAAAACTTTTCCCCCAAGATCTATTCCAGGAAAAGGATAATCTGGAACTAAAAGTTGTCAATTCTATTGGAAAATCCATTCGGGAAATTTCTGACACAAGGATTCCATTCCTTCGGACTTGTTTAGTCTTCCATTGGGATGACGGCAAAAAAAAGTTCTTCGATTGAGGAGGCCCCCGCTTCCTTTACTGAAGCAAGTACAAATGGTTTGATTGAGTATTTTCTAAGAATTGACTTAGTAAAATCGAATACTTCATATATCAGAAAAAGAAATGACCCATCTGGTTTAGGATTGATTGGGGATAATAAATCGGATCGAATCAATCCATTTTTTTCTATTCATTCCAAGGGAAAAATTCAACAATCACTTAGCCAAAATCACGGAACTATTCGTATGTTGTTGAATAGAAATCAAGAATGCCGATCTTGGATAATTTTGTCATCATCTAATTGTTTTCAAATGAGACCATTCAACAATGTAAAATCTCACAATGGGATAAAAAAGATCATATAATTTCAATTAAGAAGAATAATAATTCGGTCGGCCCTTTAGGAATAGTTGCAAATTTATATTCACTTTATCATTTAATAACTCATAATCAGATCTCAATAATAAAAATTTTGTAACTTGACAAATTAAAGGAAATTTTTCAAGTAATGAAATATTATTTCATGGACGAAAATGAGAAAATTTGTAAACCCGATCTATACAGTAATATCGTTTTGAATCCATTCCATTTAAATTGGTTTTTTCTCCATTATTTTTCTTGTGAAAAAACGTTTCCAATAATAAGTCTTGGACAATTTATTTGTGAAAATATATGTATAGCTCAAATGAAAAATGGACCACACCTAAAATTAAAATCGGGTCAAGTTATAACAGTTCAAATGGATTCTGTAATAATAAGATTGACTAATCCTTATTTGGCGACTCCAGAATCAACCATTCACGACCATTATGGGGAGATCCTTTCTCAAGGAGATATTTTAGTTACATTAATATATGAAAAATCGAGATCCAGTGATATAACACAAGGTCTTCCAAAAGTGGAACAAATATTCGAAATACGTTCGATTGCTTCAATATCCATGAATCTAAAAAAAAGAATTGATGCTTGGAACGAGTGTATAACAAAAATTCTCGGCATTCCTTGGGGATTCTTGATTGGTGTTGAGCTAACTATAGCTCAAAGTCGTATTTATTTGGTTAATAAAATCCAAAAGGTTTATTGATCCCAGGGAGTACACATCGATAATAGACATATCGAGATTAATGTGCGTCAAATAACATCCAAAGTCTTGGTTTCAGAAGATGGAATGTCTAATGTATTTTTACCTAGCGAACTAATTGGATTATTGCGAGTAGAACGAACGGGGCGTGCCTTGGAAGAAGCCATTTGTTACCGAGCTTTATTATTGGGAGTAACAAAAACATCTCTGAATACTCAAAGTTTCATATCCAAAGCGAGTTTTCAAGAAACTGCTAGAGTTTTAGCAAAAGCCGC